CGGGTTCGAATCCCGTTGAAGCCCTGATTTTTTTCAGGCTTCTTCTTTCCAATTGCTTAAATTGGAAAATTTACTGCGATGATCATTCTTCACCTTTAAACTCTTCATTGCAATTCGAATCTGTACGCATTGCAGACCTATACTTTCTAACTATTGTTGATACTGGTCGCCCATCAAAGTGTCTTACTTTTAATGACGTTGACGCTAAAACCAAACGAGTCGCCTTTCTTATCACCCACTGCATAAGCATGGCACTCATAACTTCCCTTATTGACATTTTGGCTGTCGTCTTCCATAGTTACATTCTTGATGTGCATGGTAACAAAGAGCTTGCGTCCATTTTCTGCAAATGAATCATGTATCACTCTTTCAAGAACTGTGTCAGTTAAGGTAGCACAAAACAGTTTCCAGCACTTTCCAAGACTTAGATTTTGATGGGTCATTGTGACCACTCTTTATCAACTGATGCTACAATCATGGTGTCAAACAACTGCTCAGTCAGTGGCGAACACGTTGTCATCATTTTTGTGACACAATAGGTTACCATAGCAACAGTATGACTAGCTAAAACATCCTTAATTATAGCTTTAAGGGCTTACAATTAAAAAACGGCACGGTGAATTTTTTTATATTCTCAAATTTTGATAAGCACGTTCAGACGCAACTTTGCGGGCAAAGTTTTAAAAGTATCTGTACACGGAGTTCTGAGCCACATGAAAGTTTTGAAAATTTAAGATGGCTCTGAACCCAATATACAAAATATAATCATGTTTTAATAAGTATGACTGGGTGCTTGCTATAAACCCTCTTAATTATCTTGCATTAGTGTAACTCTAATGCGCTCTATCACGAATGCAGTTCTCTGATTGGCTGCGCTACTCACTATTCTGTTGTAGATGGTGAGTAGCTTAGCAGTTTGCGATAAATTGTTAACAAAATGGCGGCCGCTTCTTTGCGTTTTCAATGTTTTTCTGTGAGGAGGATTCAGATAAAGTTTTGAATGATTAATAGATTTCGCTTTCGATATTTATGCGTGATAGAAATCTCGAGCTTGTAAACTGAATGTTAACTAGGAAAAAAAGCAAAAAGTGATAAAAGGAGGGGAATATCAGCTGAAATGAAGAACGAAAGACCTGTAGATTCAAAAGTCTACCAGAATGACATTTTCTTGACAGCCTGTCACAAAATCAAGTTTGATGAACTGTAATCCATTTCAATTCTATCAATCTTGATCCCCCCAAAATACTTGCTCTGTAATGTCAGTTACACGATGCCATAGAAAATACAGCCAATTAGAGGAAAGGAAAGCTCAACCAGGAAACAGCTGGATGCAAGATAAGATGACCTGGATCGTCCTTTCATAATTGATGGCATTTAATTTTACTAGTTACCTTCTCACCTTACCTTCTGTTCTACCCGTAAAGTAAATGTTACCACCATCTTCTGTCAGGTTAGTATATACGTTAAATCTGTCTTTCCTCTTAAACATGATTTTCTCCGGGATTTTTTCTCCAGCATCATCGTACGCAACGCAAGTCACTTTTGCCGAGGAGTGCTCAATTGGATAGATGGGTGCTGGATATGGTTCGACGATTTTAAATTCACCTGAGAAAGAAAGACAAAGGGAAATATTGTCATTCCGTTTGAACGCGATCGCATTTGAGTACAATGCGCTAGACTTCAAATCCAAGGTAAACTTTTTTAAAGTACTTTTACAATACAGTCGAACCTCTCCTTACGGACACCTCCATACCTGAGGGGTATTCTCATATATAAGCGATATGCCTTTGGGTATGTTCCGCTGTTAAGAGTATGGTTTTCATGAGGCAGTTAAGTCTGGGATAGCCATAGAAACCAGACCGTTTTAGTCTGGAATAATATATAATTTACCAGAAGAGTAGCCGAATTGATTAATAGGAATTGTAACTCGAAAGTGACTTCGTAAGATTTTGTTCGGTTAGTGCATGTTGGACTACCATAGTGATAAAGTTTCTGCACGGAAAATACCTAGTCTGAGACTGGGTAGGGTTTTTGGTGCCCAGTATAGAAAAGGGTTGCAAAAGGGTTTCAGTGTTCCAGCGGGACNCCCCCCCCTCCCCCGCCCACGGGCCTTCATACTACGGACACATCGGTGTTACGGACAGTTCACGCAATGATCTTATTACAGACACTTAGGGTTAGGGTTCGTAATACGGAGAGTCATGGCTCGACCCCCTTTGTGTCCGTATTAGAGATGTTCGCCGGTGTTATATTTTCTGTCGGTATGATTGAGGGTGAGCTGCGCTCCTCACTCGCGTTGGGGTTAGCGTCAAACGATGGATAAATAAAAGCTTTCACCGTAAAAAATCAGATCTGAGATTGGACATAGGAGATCACAGTGGAACCCCAATTCTCGAACCCTAGGTTTTTCGAACCTCCCGATGACTCAAACCACAAATCATTTCCCTCGCCTTAGTCGAATATTGTGATTTTTACCCCCGATTTTTACTACTCGATTTTCAAAACAATTTTCGTTTCCCCTAGAGGTTAATAAAAATCGTGATTCCATTGGACTAATGGTCGAATTCCTGTAGTCCAGTACATATCGTTATGAACGTTTGTGTACAAAAGTAAGACGAAATAATCAATTAGAGAGTGATATGTACAAGACGCTTTTGTCCCTCGATTCTAAAGGCCTATTGTTATGCCTAGCCAGGTATAATCCTTTCCAAGTGCCAGTCACCAAAAGTGTTCATTTTCAAACCATGTTTTTTCTGAATTGTGTTAAGTCCTTTCGCACGCCGCATTACGTGGAAGACGCGAAATAGGCGAACTCGCGAGTGAGAAAGTTGTGAAAGGAGAGAGCTCTTGGATAACGACCCTCCGCTCTCCCTAGACCCCTCTCCTGTTTGTGTCTTGGTCGACTAAGGTATTGTGTTTACATGGTGGGTTTAGAAATTCGTCCAAACAAACAGATCGAAAATAACTACGATCACGTAAAACTTAGACATCATGCCAATTATTAGACGTTTTGTATGGTCATGTGGTAGCTCTTGCTGAAAATTAATTTCGTTAGTTACCTATGTTTATCAGCCAAACTTTGATCACTTTGATAAATGTCCCAATAGTTTGCTAAATTTAACTTTTTCATGTCCAAGCTTGTGGGACGTGTGGTGGCCTATTGGTTACTGCACTGGACTCTGGGTTCGAGCCAGTGTTGTGTTCTTTGGACAAGACACATTACTCTCACAGTGCCATTGAGTACATGCTGCATCAAACACTGATGGGGGTGGGAGGGGGACGAAGGAAGGGGCTGGTGGTATGGAGTAACTCTGCGATGGACTAACATCCCACCTAAGGAAGAGTTGATATTCCTTTATATCATTAATTATGCTTTTTTCCTTCCACCAAGTTTGAGCTAGGTCTTGAAATACCACGCTGGTGAGATGCTTGACACATCGCGCTATCGTGACTGGCCCCTTGGCCACTAAGGCCATCAGCGACATAAACATTCGTAATCTACTTGACTTGTGTGTTTTGGGATAAAACACGTACGTAGTCAAGAATCAAAACATTTCCATGTGAACTCCTGGAGCAAAGAGGGATCAATGCAGCACAACAGGCCTCTCATAATTTGTCTTTTCGCTTGGGAACTCGTAATTTGAAAACTTTTCTTCTCAAATAACCTTTCTTTTGCTCTCATTTTTTGAAAAGTCATGAAAAACCTTGAATTCAAGATGTTTTGTCATGTTAGGTCTTGTCCTAGATGATGACAATAATTACAATAAACAAAAAGAAAGTCGCGCCGCCGAAAAGTGCATGAGAGTCACGCGTTTTGTTATCGTCACGTACGCAAACTGACCCGCGTGTAGACACGCAGATCGCTTACTGTAGCTGTTTATTGCGGTAACAGATTATCGTCGCGTTGTGGTGTCATTTTTTTGCGCTGATAAAAACGCTCTCGTTCTTAATAACATCGTTAAAGAGGCCTTTAGTTCAAGGCAAGAAATATCGTGTCCAAAACAGACATTTTAGAAATTAGCGGTATCAATATTCATAAATTAATATTGCACACAGCTGCAAATTCCACAAGAATTACATCATGTTTATTTGACAAGCTTCCAATGTCCTCCAGTCTGGCAATAGTCCAGCATAGTGAGAACCAAAAGGTCTAAACGCATACATGACAGGTTCCTTCTGCCAAACTGATAAGTAACATGCATGCATTTCTTTAAATTTCTGTTTTGAGAATTTGCTGGTCTAAGAAGACAATGTCCGTTGACGATGACTTTCTTTATTTTTACTGACAATGTGTAGAGAGATTTGTGCAAAGTTGTTAAGAACTACTTGTAGCTAATTCAAATTAAGTGTATCGGGAACGCACGTATCTCGAATGTCCCAGCTTTTCAAAATTAAAACGACTGATTTTACTGTGAAGAATTGTATTTCGAACACATAAGAAACTCCATATTTAATAGCAGAGTGGAAAGATTTTAGTACACACTGTAACACGAAAGGAAGGAAATCATTGTGCCTGAATCGAAAAATAAACCATGTTAGCTGTTGAATAACAAACATTTGAAGGACAAAGGGGAAGGCAAGCCACCGGAATTGTTTTTAAGGTACGGAAATATGATTTTTAAAAAATCTCCAGCGATAAAATTTTTCAGTCCATCGGTCTGACAGAATAAAAGAACTGAGTATTAAAGAAATATTAAAATATTTCATTTTAATTTTCGTGCCAGGGTTTACTGTAATCAAGTCACGAAATGTTTCCAAGTCCCCACCTCGTAGAAGGAAATCGGCAGAACAAATGTAGCTTGAAATCACGAAGCAAAATGAGAGATTAGAACATTCGAAGAATATGACAAATATATGTCAGTGGAACAGTTTTTAAAAAACATAAATCCACAGAATTCCACGTCTACGGTGTTGTTGCCATAATTACAGGTGAAAAATTAAAACAGAACGAACGATACGATTAAAAAAAAAGTCTGAGGTAGAGAGCAGTTATTTTATTTTAACTATTTCATGCGGAAAGCATTGCGACAAAAACGCGTTGTTGCGTGTTTTTAGTCTTGGTTTTTTATTATTCTGTTTTGTTTTTTGACAGCACATTAGAAAGTAGGGTTACAAAATTACTCAACGAAACCAGAATGTCATCGCTTAGTTACACGAAAAGAAATAATCTCGCTTACCTTTAGCAATTCCAAATGCAGAAAGCAGCCCAAACAAAACGATTTCCCAAGCAGAGAAAACCACCATTTTGTTGTGAACGAAACGCTGTTTTCGTGTTCTGATCGCGATGGTTTGAGGACGCTCAACTGAAGTGGGACGAGGACTTGAAAGTGAACTGAACTCGTTTATGTACGTGAACGAATCCTGTAAAGGGCGTAGCATGTCAATACACATCAACAACAAAGAACGCATGTGATTGTCTCGTTAACTGCAGGGACTTTGTGCCAAGCCAATGTATCACGGATCGATCATTGGTTAGATCCCCCTAAAACAATACTGCAAGCCTTGTGTTTCATCATCGTTTCATTTATTAATCGGCCTAACCTGTCGCTTTCGAGAGCTTTTGTCTTGTCACTTGTCACACAATATTCTGTGTCAAACTCCGCAGAGACATTAAGTAAGCGAATCAGTTTGAAAGCATTTCTTCTCATTTAATTTGGTAGAAGGCTGAAGCTATTGTGTTAATGAAGCAGTGAAGTTTCGTATAATTTCGCAATATTTAGCCATTCCTCAAGCTGTGTCTTTACTTGCTTGACACAGTCATTGCCAAAACAAGCAGTCACGGAGATTTTTTTCCAGAAACAACCTTTGAATTGTCCATTTTTTTTATATATCACGTTTGACCAGGGCCGCAGCCAGCCTGAGGCAAGACGAGGCAGTTGCCTCGTCTGCGGTTTTTACCTCGAAATTTGTCTTTAAAAAATGGAAGAATTCTGTACGTTGGAGACACAATCCTCAGAAAACATTTGCCATTAAGTCCTGAGAGATTTACTCAGTTGATATGAGCGAATTAAGCGAGAAAATGCAATCAGTTATGGAAGCAGTTTATTCAATCGAAAAGTATAACGCGAGTGTCGAAAACATTGTATTCCAAAGCTGCAAGTAAGCCAAGGTGAGCTCTTTAAATTGTTATTTCCGTCGTCATTCATCTGAGCTTCAAAAAGGAGTGATATCTCTAAAGAAATATCTCTGAGATGTCTCGTGACGAAAGAGCTTCTAGATTTCTAAATTCTAGGCNGGGGGGGGGGGGAGCATGTCCCCAGACCCCCCACCCTCTCAAGAGGCTTTATCATATTCGGTGCCTTCAAGACCTGCCTCTGATGAAAGTCAAGTTATTAGCCTCATTGACCCGGATCTGCTGTGACAAAGGAGTGACAAGCACGAATCACATCATCTGCCGAGAGAGGAGTGACACACGAATCACATCATCTGCCGTGACAGTGGAGTGACACACACAAATCTCCGTTACTTCTCATCTCTTTCCCGTTTCGCCATTCTTCAATACTTTCTACCTTCGGATAAGCTCGATTTCCACCCGTTTTTTTGAGCCCGGGTTCCCTTCCCCACACGCACAAGCGACACGGACCAGTGATCGATCCAGCCGTTCATTGGGAGGAGGATCAACAACCGGACTCCCAAAACGGCTGGAAATCGAGCCTAACCTTACAAGGCAAAGTGATAAAGTTTTGGGGGTTCAGAGAGGAAATGGGAAGAGTTTCCCTGTCAGTTATTACTGAGGAATGGTTGTAGTCTGGTAGATTAGAGGGAAATACAGGGAACAAAGCTATCGTTTGCCCAGTCCAATTTTGGTGATTTACACAAGGTTCGACGCTCAGAAACGTGAAACTACGTTGCACCGGCCCAAAGACGCGAACATGTATGTACGTAGGGATGCTGAGAGGTTTTGAAAGACAGGAAGGCTATCCTGCCATAGAAACCTGTAGGCAGACTTTATTTCGCCATTTTGTGCAGTTTTGAGTACGCAAAAAGTCCGTGTTCTTATGTTTAAAGTCGAGTTTTCGCCATTGCTAGAAAGAAACGAAGTAGGATACTGTGATCTGTGCGTGTGTGAATGGAATTTTAAGTTAAAGAAACAGTGTCACTCTAATTATTCTTCGACTAATTTATTTGCTCATTAAAATGCGTTGAACACGTTATTGTAGAAATTATCAAGGAATGCCTTAATCTACAAAACGTAATCAAGAGCAATATGTAGAAGCCATTTTATTACATAATTAAACGACGAGTCAGGTAATATTGTCTCCGGTTGCAGGAATCTTTTTGAGTTGTTTCTCATCAATATGTTAGCAAAACATTTGATATTACAATTAAACCAACTTCTCTATTCTTATTTAAAATTGTCTTTACTCTCAAGTTTATCTCAGAATGGGATCTACTGCGTTCACCTTTTTGAGGAACAAAAGCAGAATCAAAGCTCACCCCGATTACTTTTATAATAAACAAAATTATCATTCGATGCATTTTTTCTTCCTTTTCATTGGCCGAGAGCCCACCACGTGACCTGCAAACAACTTCCTACAAATAATGTTCTACTCATGCGTTATACCGGACCATATAAATGTGTTTTGCTGCAAATAATAATCTGCTCGTGCGTAGTTGTAACGCACTTTTGTGTGAAAAATGGCCGATCACTTCCATGAGCTGTCAGAGAGTTTAAATGAAAACATACGGTGAGATCAAATAATAAAACAATTATTGAACTCGGTTATCGCAAAATATCGTGATTTGTCAGTGTCACGTGGATCAATTATTTGCCGAAGGCTTCGGCAGACAACTAATCTGCTCGCAACTCAAATTTTGTTCAATCAATATTTTGTTCAATCTCGTCCAATAATTGTAATCTATCTGTATCGTGTAATGGGGAAATTTACGCTTTGTAAAATAGCGTTACCTAAGTCTGATTGTGGGGAGTGTAACTTAAAGTTCCACAGAAACTAAATGGAAAACTTGGAAAAATGGAAACTTAAAAAAATTGCTAATATGGTAGTCACTCTGGTAAGGTCCTCTGAGAATGAAATCCGAGTGATGACGTGTTTTGAATTCTAAGCTGACAATAATTTTAACCTTGTCCTCTAATGCTCTGAAATCGACAGCAAAAAATTAAAAATAATTTCTGCATCTTTCTGTATCATATGCAGTTCAAAAACATTGCAACTAATTCTGTTCCTTCTCTGTGCTAATGCACAGTAATAAGTAACAAAGCTATAGAGCATTTCCACATGACGTCACGGCAGCATGAAACGGCGGCCATGTTGGTGTAGGAAACCAATCCTGTGGGAGTCTTATGTTGACACTTTTGTTCCAATAAATTTGCACGGGTGCTGGCCACGTGAGTGAAAACGCTCTATAAAGGCAAATGTAATTTGTATAAAGATGCTTGCGGTTTAGAAATACTGCGTGTGTTAGTGATGTTCTTTCGATCTTCATTGCCATATTGAAGGCCACCAAGTCCACAAGCCGAATGCTGGCAAAATGGTTGTCACAAAGCGAGGAGTGACTAAGACAAAAAAAAGACAATTATTGTTTTGTGTCAGCAATGTCGGAGAAATAAATCGTTGGAGAAATCATTTTACAGAATTTACACTAATAAGATTGCAGCTCTGCATTAGACAGTTGACTAATGAATCTTTTGAAACTCCGAAGAGTATCTGTGCTGTCTTAACTATGTGTGCGAGAGCATGCTTTCCTTATCAAAGCGCCATCTTGTTTTACTGAAGCTGCGTTTGAGAAATTAACCTTACGTAATGATCTGGAAGAACCAGACTAATCACTCCTGTAAAGGCGATCGTCTATGACTGTAAGTTTTGATCGTCTATGACTGTAACTTTTGAGCGAAGTTCGCAAACCAGGAAACACGTTATCCTATCTCATTTGCCCATGATCTCAGTTGCCAGCCTCGATAAGTGTGTCTCGTAGCATCAGTAATGTCTGTAGTTTGTACTTTAGGGCCATACCATTATTTCTATCAATTTGAAATATGTACATTTTTTAGTAAAACAGCAAAGCATTGCTATTTTACTGGGCAAGGTCAGAAAGTAAATCATCAATTGCCTACTTTAACCAAAGACTAAACAGTCCTGCCTTTTTTTTTTTTTTTTTTTTTTTTTCGTTTTTTTGCTCAACTGTGTTTTTGCTTGTATGTTTTAAATGAATCGTTATTTCTCACCAATAGCAGAAATCGAAGTGGAATTCGAGTTCACTGTAACAAGAAAATACTGTTGTCCAGGCCCGTCACGTGCATTGCACGAGTAGTTCCCAGAATCCTCTGTGGTTGCGTTCTGGATTACAAGGATTGAATCACAGAAACTGCATTCACCCTGTAGTATGATACGACCATCGGCTATGGATGAAAATAAAAGACGACAAATTATTCTAGATGTGCTGTGTGAAACAAGGAATCGCACGTCTTGAGTAAGTCTGTCTACCAAAACTTGATTACTATACATAGTGACCGTTATTGCTCTAAAGTGATTCTAGTACCGCTCGAGGTAACTTGTCCCTTGCGTCAGTTACGTTCCTTGAGCTCCTCCTGCCCAAGATTTCCATTTTCCCGCCGACGTAGAAGTGAAATAAAAAGACTCAGATGTCATGATATTGAACTCTAATATGCTTCAAAATATCTTACACTTGATGACAGCAGTAGATCCCGGCTCGTTTTTCTTCCATTCAATGTCCAAGGGGTAACCGTCAGCGCTGCAAACTAAGGCAACACTGTCTCCTATGACAGCAACAAGTTTAGTTTCCTTGATTGGAAATCGGACGCGAACTGTTGACCAGAAAGACATGAGCTCATGGAAAGGCATATTTCTGAGTGTAACTTTAAGATTGACGTATAGTACTTTATAATGTTTGATAGAATGTACTTCGTCACTGACTTAAAAGCGAAAGTATTTTGGGGATTCATGTATTTATCGTACGGGTATCTTTGTTTGTCCCGTCCTCGTCTCTTATTCCATGAGTGTCCCATGGAGGCCCCCTCCAAACGTCAAGCATTCCTCTTCAAATTGATAGCTTTACATTTTATAGAATTGCTAATGAGCATTTGGTCACCAATTTTTCAGGAATAAATTAAGCGATTGATGTGGTTAAGAATGGTTTTTTCTTGAGTGTGCAAAGTAATTCGCATTTGCCTTGGTTTACGCCAGGGGATTGGCTTAAAAAACTTGTGCCACTTGTCATCCAATCAGAAGTAAGGCCAAAATCATTCTAACTTACTCGCCCATGTTTTCCCGCGCTTCGCGTCAGCCACATGTATTTCTTTCGAGTTTTGATTGGTTAGTTGGTGGGTTGAAATTGTTCTGGAGCGGAAAGACATCTTACAAAACGGCAGTACAACATGAGCTTCCCCGACAAAGGTCTAACTCTCGAAACTGCAGCCTTCTAATTTCGGTTCAGCAGTTAATTCACCTTTGTTGAATTTAAGTACATGTAAACATTGTACTATTTGTTCCCTCTTCTAACACCCCACCAACTGCTTACTGTGAAGATAGCCTGGAGACGAGGTGACGTCATAAGGGACAAGTGAATGAAGCAGCACCCGGATCCTACATACGTAGTTCCCTCCATCGCTGACCCTGACAGAATTGAAGATCAACGCCTGTGTGACGTCGTTGGTTATTTTCACCGGGTTATTGCCTCGTAGGTATGTAACCTTGTCTATGGGTGTGGTCCTCTCGTTATTCTTGTGGGTCAGATTGCAGTAAAGTCTTACGCTGTCTCCATATGATACTGTCACATTTGGAATAACACGAGCCACTGGTAGGTCTTCTCCTGTAAAATTGTAAATTCTTTGTTTATCAGACAATAGTAATAGGAATCTTTTGAGCTTGAGTTTTATTTTAATAGGGAAATAGTAAATGACCGTTTTATGCTTCAGGAACGTGTATATATGTAATAGGCGCATTTAACGTCTCAGACGTTAAAGCCTTTGAAAAATAGAAACAGGAAACATTAATATTCCATGACTATTTTTTGTTTGAAAAATTATGTTCTAATCTCGTACGAGAGGTGACATGATCGGTTTCATCATTTAATTAATGTGTCCCAGTTAAGGGCGTTCCAGGTTTACGCTAGACGCACTTGACTTAAAAAGATAGTAAAGATGTTAACTTTGTCTAGACGTTCTATTTACCGTCCGTATACAGACGGACTAGCTGACTGATGTTCCTACGGAGGGATGGACTAACTAACTAACCAACTAACTGGCCTACTGGCTGGCTGCCGGGATAACTCAGTGACTGGATAACTGACTGACTGACTGGCTTGTAAATAGCTTGTAAATAGCCAACTGGTCTGCCTCCCGCCAGCTGGGATTTTTAAGCCTATTATGTTTAGTTGATATGTTTGTTTCTTTCAGTTTAAGTGGCATGCCTGTGAACTAGCTAGGTGTAGCTAAGCGCATTGACCACTATATATAAACAAAAAAAAATTTTTTTTTTTTTGAACAGGCCGCCTGACTGACTCACTAACTCACTTACTCACTTAAGGAGGATTGTCCCCTTAACTGGCTGTTCACGTAGTATTTCCAACTCACTTGCTGTGACTCGTACGTCGAATCTCTGACTGTCTGGACGTCCTCCTGTCGCGGAATATCCGATGCATTGGTAAGATCCTTTCTCGTGATCATCTTGTACAGTAATGTTCGTGAAGTGCAGCGTAGCGCTTGATCTGTTGCCTGAAGTTGCATGAAAAAATTATCAGCAACCTCCACTGAAATACAATACCTCCGAATCCCCCCTCCTCAAACCTTGAATTGTATCTTCACGTGCAGTTGTACCTCCCGCCCTTTCACTGGTCTCCACATGCAAGATGCACTTGGCAGTATATCACTAGAGTTGGGCATTAGAACCCCCCTTTTTTTTTCCTCAGGTGTACATTTTAGTTTGTAGAATTGGAATTGCACAGTTAGATTCAAACTCTCCCATCATGATGCAATTTGCACTGACCGCCACGTTTTTTTTTTGTTTTAAACCTTCGTACTTTGAAAGCCTTGACAAATCTGAACATGGTTGAGAAGTGAAATCTGTTATTAAATCATAACTCAGTGACCTCGTGTCTTGTTTGTCTGGAACACTCTCTCCGAGTCCTGAATATCAAACCACTCCATTCCACGTTCCTTTCTTCTCTGAAATATCACCCTGAGGGGAGGCTGATCATTGTCTCCGACAAAGATGCAGGTGACATTAACCGCTGATTCACTGATTGCGACAATGTTGTTGGGATAAGGTTGGGCAATGCTCACAGCTAGAGGAAGATGGAATTATTCCTCGGTTAGTAAAATGATTTGATTATAATATACGCCACACCACGCCAAAAATCATATTTTCATAAAAGCAGCATTTAACTTGGCTCATTATAAGTAAGACCGTATACACTGAACCACATGTAAAGCGTCGCTTTAAAGTGTTTACCCATCTTTAACCTTGTGTCATTGAAACGTTCAGGTCTTCCCTGACTGAACTAAGTTTTTTTTAACGCGTGAAACTTCTTTAACGTTGAAAGTGTAAACACTACCATGCAAACTATTACAATAAATCGAAACACCTTAAAAAGTTAAAATATAAACATACCACTATCTAAAGCAAATAACACACAGTAGAGCGGTTTTCAATTGAGTTCGTAGAACCTAAACTAAATTAATCACTTCAGCCAATCACAAAGGACACAAACAATCCAATGAACCAATCAACACTCGAAGTAATTACAGTGTAGCTGACTTGAAGCGCGGGAAAACGTGCGTGAACTAGTCACGATTGGTTTTGGCTTTACAGCTCTGGTTGGATGAAAAAGTCGCGCGAGTAGAAGGACTCCTGAGTAAGCCCGGTCAAGCCTTTTACACATCATACAAAGGCACGTAAATATTACGCGTCAGTGGAAATTTACCTTTAAACCGTGCTTATTGTAATTTTGATGGATGGCAGCCAAACTAAATATTTTCAGTAAAAAAATAGTAAATCGCCTTACCATTACTATGCTCGTGAACTGAGTGAGAGTTCTGATGACTTTTTTGTGAACTTCTTCGATCGAGAAAAAATGTACGTGCGTGAAGTTGTTTGCTGACCTCTCCAGAAACTCAAAAGCGACTGAGCACTATTCTCAAGTAGAAGCTGACGTGGGCTCTGATTTGTTCCTGGTTTCCTTTGGAAACCATTGACCAATCATGCCTGTCGGTAGCCGGTAGCTCCTTTTCTGGGATCTTATAACAAAGATCCCAGAAATCTTCGTAGTGCCGAAAGCTACAATTCAGGTCTGCCAAGTTTCTTGAGTGCCGAGTAAAGAAGTTACTTCCAGTTGGCAATAAAGACCAGAAATTCATAGGACTTCTGTAAAATTTAATTCTCAGGTAGTGCCATTTTCCGGTCAACTCAGAGCCTCAATCGGTCAGAACACGCAAATAGCCAAACAAGCAATCCCACCATCTCAGACATCACACCACCACACCATTATATGTAACCATGATTACGTGATGTTACTATCGATAGAGATGACGCATTAAGTTACGTAATGGTATCTAATTATGGATACCCGGAGCATAAGCTGCCACTCTTTGTCCCAACGTGCTACCCTTAGATAAGTCGAAACATTCGACAGTTTGGTCGAAGGTATCCTAGAATCGAAAATCTGATTTCTTCTTTTTTTGCCATCGACCATTGGCGAAAACGAATGGCAAATTCAAGATCGTGTACTTTTGAAGATCCGTTTTTGTTTCTCCAAAAGGTTTTTGTGTTCTTTAATTATCCGCGTCGATTTAACCTTGCGTGTCAAGGCAAAGACTGAAAGAGCCAGGTGAATTTCCCGAAACTGATTCATATCTGACATCTCGTATGAAAATTTGTGAACGTTTACAGAGCCACCACACAAATCGATAATCTAGCAACGATAATCCTAGCCGATCTCTGTTTTGGGCTTCATCGCTCTTATTTTTGCTTTGCGCATCCTGTAGCCAGCTGCAAAAGCAGTCTGTTTTTATTTTCACTTTGCATTTTTCAAACATCTAGCCACTCTAACCGAGATCCATGGTAACAGTGTTAACGAATTCTGCACACCAGCTTGTTCAATTGTAAAACAAACGATCTACTTTAACTTTAAACGCTATGGAACAACGTGTAATCAATCCAGCAGATAACTTTATTTTAGATAGAATGACAGATTTGACGGCAACTGGGCAAACAAAAATTGCGTATGACAACTTGTCACATCAAGTCATTATATCTTCAAAGAAAAGCAAATTATAATTTTTAGCATGTGAACATTTTTCCTATGAAATTGCGCTTTTTCTGAGAACTTAACCTCAGCCGAGTTAAAATTAAATTGTGCCATTAGCAACGATTATTTCGCTACACGATACTTGATATCCGCAAGATAGCGAAAACTGGCTATTAAAATCGGAATTGAGTCAATCGGACCATCAAACGAAATATTTCATTATTCACTTTTTCTATCCTTCATGCAAGTTATTATATCTCCTTGAAACTCAAAATTTTTAATGCTGAAATATGTTTAAAAAAAAAACAAAACCAAGAGTAGAACAAATAAATACACTTATTTCAATTACTATAGATATATTCTTAACCTGCGTGGGACCATGTATTTCTCGATTACGTGATCATTTTGCAGGGTGTACATGCACGTTACTTCGGTGATATGTCACGGAGGTTTCTTTTAATAATAATTTTGTTAGAAAAGAAATGGCCCTAGTCTGGCAATGATAGAGAACTCGCAAAAGTTTGGTCCCTGTAAGATTTTGTCCCAGTAAGGGAGCGAAACTAAAACTTTAATCCTGCAAATCATTAGCAAAATACGCTATAATTTAGCGCAGACTCATAATGTCATAGATTAGTGGACTAATATTTCCATTAAAAAAGCTCATATATATGATAAGAAATCCACCACTTTAGAACTAGAATATTTTGACCGTTTGTTATTGAGCAGCTGGCAAGAGTTTAGAGCTACGAACTCACCTGGACGGAAACGCAACGAGGGAATCTTTTTTAAGTGCATCCAAATGACTTAAATAGGTCATTTTGGGCTTGTTGAGATTATGACTTACGTTATAGCTATGTCACTGAGTTTGAACCCACCTTCAACAGATCTAGTAATGCAAGCCAACAAAACCAGCCTCCAAAAAAGCGCGTGATTAACCATTTCTGCGGTTCCTGTTGTTGCACTTGTAGCACAACTTCTAGCGATGAAGGGTAACAACAAAACGAGTCTAAACCCCTGAATTGTTCACACTATTCGTGCAATAACACCGATGACAGGCTCTTTAAATGCTTGGTTCTTAGTGGTTGATGTTCAAGCTTCCAAAACAATGGAATATAAACAAAGCTGTCTCTAGCATATGATTAGCTGTTGTTACCTCATTCACGGAATACGCAAGGACACAAAATGTAGTTTTAATTTGGACGGTCGCTTATTTGTTCAAGGTTATCTCCGGAGGTATCGAATTATAATTCATTTTCAGTTTCCTAGAATTCGCAGGTACATCTCTGTTTTTGCACGTTTCAACTCGGTATTTTGAAGCAGCCAACATCTGTTATCAAGTGCTTTGAGCGACTTACCGACTTAACCCCGCTAAAAGGTAACTTCTCTCTTCGAAGAACATTTTAATGTGTTAACATTATACGTAGTGGCTGGGAACATGTAGGATAACACAAATATAAATTTAAAAAGCGAATTACGTAAAAGAAAAAGAACAAAAATAACAGACGTGAGTTACATATACATGCAGTATGTATAAATCCAATATAAGGAAGTTATAATCACACTAAGACCTGCCTAACACGAGAATCTGCGAGAATACACGAGTACCTGGATTAAATTTTTTCGCGAAAAGTCTCCTTTCCCATCCCACCCCCAAAACGCAAAAAAATAATCACTTCTCCAGAAATTGTTGCCCATCACTTGTCGAAACGTAAAGTTTATCAACTTCGAATAGACTTATAGGAAAATATAAAGCTCTCCTTATATTTTGTTTTAAAACACTATTGTACAAAAAGCACTTTTCCGGGTCATTGTCAATCCCAGTGACTGAGCTATCAGCCATGTGGGTTTGCATCGAGTCTGCATTTTTTTTGTTGTGGGTTAAGGTGGCCGAACACAGTTTTCGCGCGCGCTTTTGCTGATGCAATTCAGCGCGCGCACAAGGATTGCAAAAACAAACATGCCGTCAACAGAGCG